AAAAAAAAAAAAAAAAAAAAAAAAAAAAAAAAAAAAAAATACAAAACAAAAAAAAAAAGTATGGTTATCATACACGTTATTTCACAATATGAAATAGATTGATCAGAGGCCGATTAGTGTAAGATATATTAGCAATCACACAAGAGATAATAATCAATTACAATAATAATAATAATGATAATAATAACTACTCACCAGTGACATTTGGTTCAACTGGTACCGGGACATCCGCACAATCTCAGCATCAATACGTTCTGCGAACTTGTTGTAAGCAGCGTCCTTCTTCCGCTTTCCCTGAACAAACAGCTGCAAAAGATACGACATTAGACATTACAACACTTGTTATATGAAATCAACAACTTTTACACGCAGTTTGACATGATTTGTTGCACATCATACCTCGTTGCATGGAGAAGTAGTTGCAAAAAAACATGTCGCCGAACCACGACTCTTGAATCTCTCATTGTGGTTAAGAACACGAGCCCACAAGTCTATCACCGCCTCAGAAACATGTTCAGTCGGACTCAGGCATGCCACAACCGACTTCATGATAGAATATTCATATGACTGGAATATAATTGTGTCGTTTTGCCTAAATATCAACGTTCATAAAACGTAATAACGTAATCATTGTCAGAAAAAATACATACTACTCGCAATACATTAAATATTAGAAATGATATTATAATTGACATTCAAGTAGTTACAAAACATAATTAGAAAAGTCAATGAGATATCATACTCGCAAGTCCTATGATCCTTCATAACCCAGTTAACTAACATCTTCTCCCGTGCATCAAGCTTCTTGGTCACGTCAATCAACCTCTGCTTATACGGTGACTTGTTTGCACTAGTCGGATCAGCATGCCGTTTTGGCCTCACATTATCAATTCCGACGTCTACACATAAGTCACAGGCATAGTCAAAGATCAGTAAACTGCAAAAATAACATAGTGCAATTTGTCTAATTAATTAAATAAAATGCTCACACATACCTTGGGTTACATCAATCTTATCAGCACTTCCACTGCCACCACTGTCATCCTGCTCGACATCATCATCACCGACATTCGTATCCACATTAATTTCACCTATGACGAAATCATAATCATTAAAACGTCAACAAAAAAACATGTAAATAAAAACACTAATCACACACAAATATCAATTTTAACGCATGTTGAACATTACCGATGGGTATATCTACCCCTAATGATCCTCCAACAGCTACACCATCCGTCTGATGCACATTAAGACCACTGTCCACTTCTACTGGTCGACGGTAGCAAGTGTCATACTCAGGTCTGTCTTCGTCTGGTGTTAATCCCATACACAGGCTATAGCTCGGACCCTCAAAGTGTACCCGTCTAAAATTGTCTCGATGTGCAACAGCGTCCAATATATCGTCTAATATCGCTATCGTTTTGGGATCATTCCAAAATGCGTCATCTACGACTTGAGATGCACTCTCCTTTACGAGATCCTTATGCACGTATTCCTTTCGTGTAGGGTCCAATTGGTTTGTATCAATATCAGGAGGGCCTTGATGCATAGTTGTCTGCTGGCTATTACTTGTTTTGGGCTGCTGTTTCGTGTCGTCGCTCGAAACGCCGAGAAGCTTTTGTGCAGCAGATTGCATCTTCATAAAATTTTCATCTTCAAATAGAACAGGTGGAGCCTTCTCGACAAGCCGTAGTATCTCAACGCCGGCATTTGCAAGAATCTTGGTTTTAGACGCAAATTCATGAACAAATTCCTGCCAACAAGAATAAAAAAATATTATATAATTTCATAAACAGCTACGAAAACACAAACAGAACACATAAAATATTTCACAACTCATTGAATATTTGTACACAAGCAAATGAACATTTCATTATAACTAATTGAACACTGTATTAACATTAAATGCACAATATACGCCAACAGAAGTCGTTAACATACGAATATCAAAACATCAAGTTTAGCAATATTGCAATACCACATTTGCGTATAGCACAATTCTAGCAATCCCACATCACCACGAATGCGCATATGCAGATATCACATGTGCAGATATCACCACAAAACAAAAACGGCAACAGTAAGTAAACAATTTCCTACATACCTTAACACTGATTTCAGACTCAAAACTCGACTTCAAATCGCCATCCACAATTTTATCTGGACGACGATCGCCTTCAACAACAAGCGCATCTGAATCCACAAATCCTCTGCCGAATGCACCAGAGTCTACCTCATCGCGTTCTCTGTCCCTTAATAGACTGTTACTCCATGCTTTAAATGTCGGAAACATTCTTGGGACGGTTCTCATCGACAACACCACCTTATCCACGTAGAATAGCTACAAATAAACAAAGTCATTTACTTAGAAATAATAATAAGTAAATAAACAAACAGAATAATAATAATAATAATAATAATAATAATAATAATAATAATAATAATAATAGTAGAAATAATAATAATAGTAGTTTGGTAATCAAAGTCATTCGTACTGACCGTCAGAAACAACAACGGGCCTGTATATTTGTTCTTTTTTAAATTGCCACCCCATGTTTTTCTCGTGTTCACAAGGCAACTGATCATGAACGAGCACCAGTTCATATCCGCAACCTTGGATACATCGTCAAACAAGTGGACGATACGAGAATTCGCCATTCCGTTTTGGCAGCTCTCAAATAAGCACGTCACCATCAGAACGAGGAAATGCCTCTTAAACCAATCGTCTTCATCTGCACATTCTTGTATCTTCTCAAGAACCTTATTTGCTGTGATGTTAGTTGAACTTCTAACGTCGAATAGACTAACCCATTGACTAAGAATGTTAGACTCCACCCTCTTTTGTTTGTTTGATATCTGAATTGAGCCGCGGGGCAGACCTAAAACCGCATACACATCCTCTTCCCTCACATGTATCTTTTCGCCGTCATACAGTCGCAGTTTGCGGTCCATGTAGTTGAAGTTCTCAACCAACCAATATCCCATCTTCAATGGCAATGATGTTATCTTCAAGTCTAACAACAGTCCAAATCCCATCTCACGAACGACATGTTTCTTTGCGTCTGACAGAGCAGAGACAGCCTTCACGAACGTGGCTGCTGATGACCTTGTATTCAGTACAGGGAAGATCCCATCATCATCGCTAGTGGATTCATATACAACCAGATCTTTGTCTAAATTGGGAACAATGTCAAGTTCCTGATTAAC